TGGTAGGAGAAGAAAATATCAAAGTGTTCAGTGAGGATCCACAAGGTCTTCTCTGAGTACTCTTTATTTTCTTCTCCGAGGCTATGGGTCCCTACACTTGCACCAGAGGTGGTACCCCTTCTAGGTTTTTTATATATATATATATATATATATATATGTCGTACCTAGTAGCCAGAACGCACTTGTCAGCCTACTATGCAAGGCCAAATTTGCCTAATAAGCCAAGTTTTCCTGAATTAATATATTTTCTCTAATTTTTTTCTTATGAAAAGATAAAGCTACCCGTTTCATTATGTATGAGGTCAATTTTTTTTTATTTTAGTTAAAATCAACGTAGATATATTACCGAACCTAACCAACCCTACCTAACCTAACCTAACCTATCTTTATAGGTTAGGTTAGGTTAGGTAGCCGAAAAAGTTAGGTTAGGTTAGGTTAGGTAGGTTAGGTCGTCGAAAAACAATTAATTCATGAAAACTTGGCTTATTAGGCAAATCTGGCCTTGCATAGTAGGCTGAGAAGTGCATTCTGGCTACTAGGTACGACATATATATATATATATATATATATATATATATGTCGTACCTAATAGCCAGAACGCACTTCTCAGCCTACTATTCAAGGCCCGATTTGCCTAATAAGCCAAGTTTTCATGAATTAATGTTTTTTCGTCTACCTAACCTACCTAACCTAACCTAACCTAGCTTTTTTGGGCTACCTAACCTAACCTTACCTATAAATATAGGTTAGGTTAGGTTAGGTAGGGTTGGTTAGGTTCGGTCATATATCTACGTTAATTTTAACTCCAATAAAAAAAAATTGACCTAATACATAGAGAAAAGGGTTGCTTTATCATTTCATAAGAAAAAAATTATAGTAAATATATTAATTCAGGAAAACTTGGCTTATTAGGCAAATCGGGCCTTGAATAGTAGGCTGAGAAGTGAGTTCTGGCTACTAGGTACGACATATATATATATATATATATATATATATATATATATATATATATATATTATTCAAGTTAATATAGTCACTATAAAGAGAAATAAAACAATACAATTTTACTGAAAGTTAGGCGCTCTTAGGAAAAAGTTGAGCTGACACGTTCTTGAGAGTCATGCAACAAGACATTATTTATGCCAAGCTTGACAGTCATGCAATGTGTCATGCCATTTAGACCAAGTTTGCTTTTGTGAGTTATTCGATATTTTATCGTATTATTTTTTCTCTGAAAAAATGGGAACGTTCGTGAGTTGCTGTAATGTTCGAGTGTTTTATTTTTGTACTGTTTGTGCTTGCATGGTCAAGCTGTTAGCTCTTGGACCCCGCCTCTCTAACTCTTGGATGTTTAACGTACTGATTTCCGACCTATTCTCCTCTGCCTGCTATATATATATATTTTACTGTAATATACATCGCCAGGGAGAAGCTCGTAGCAGCTGTCTAACTCCCTGGTGTCTATTTACTGCTAGGTGAATATGGGTTTTGGGGTGAAAGAAACTCTTCCTAGGCCGGGAATCGAACCAGGGCCCTTGGGACTACGACTACCGAACGCTTCCCACTCAGCCGCGACGCCCCCACGTGTGTGTGTGTGTGTGTGTGTGTGTGTGTGTGTGTGTGTGTGTGTGTGTGTGTGTGTGTGTGTGTGTGTGTGTGTGTGTGTACTCGCCTATTTGTGCTTGCGGGGGTTGAGCTTCGGGTCTTTGGTCCCGCCTCTCAACTGTCAATCAACTGGTGTACAGATTCCTGAGCCTAATGGGCTCTCTCATATCTACATATGGAACCGTGTATGGAGTCTGCCTCCAGAGGGCACAAAAGGTCTTTATCAGACCTCATCTTAGATTATTACATAAACAATTTCATCTATCCTTCACACCTTATAGTTACAATGTCAGCTAATACCTAAGAGTCCTTCTCTAGCCTAACTTCCTGCCCCAGACCAGGGTAAAACATTTGTTAGGAATCGGTTAATAAATCGTCCGAGTCTAAACTCTTTCTAGTAACGATAAAGTTTAAGGATGTGTATTCTAGATGACTTTGAAAACTAATCCAATCATAAGAAGCTTATATTGAGAGAGCCAATCAAATTACCCCAGGTTTCCTCTCGGCCAATGGGAGCAAGCCACGGGGCACTCTGGCACTCGTCTCAACAATATGCAACTACAACATTGTAGTTGGCACCATTCAACGGAGATGAGGTCATCGAATTGAAGTAACTGAATTAACGACTAAATTATTAAAGCTCGTTTAGTCATAATATTAAAATTTTTACAATATTGAAGAAACGGAAGTAGATCCCATACAGAACTGTATATTTATATACGTTCTGAATCCTATACAACAATCTATTTAAGGCTGAGTTAGAGTCCAGGAGCTGCAGCTCCATCCCATACAATCACATGCAGGTCGGCGTTCAATCCCCGACCGTCCAAGTGGTTGGGCATCATTCCTTCCCCCCTGCCCCATCCCAAATCCTTATCCTGACCCCTTCCCAGTGCTATATAGTCGCAATGGCTTGGCGCTTCCTCTTGATAGCTCCTTCCTTCCCATACAATCACAGCTAGAGTAGCACACACCTGTCAATAACCTACATCAGAGAAATCCGATCAAGTTCCCTGAGTGGGACACGAAAAAGTCTAGCTGGAAAAGAGGAGGAGAAGAAGACAGCCGCGAGAGACCTCCAGATTTTTAGTGAAAAATAGGAAGCATGAGAAAGTAATAACATGTTTACCCTAGTCGGATCAGGGAATATTGAAATAACCTTTGCTTTGGCCCTCGTTTGTGCGACCAGACCTTCTCCTCGTCCCCATGATGGCGCTTGCTGTGTGTGTTCGTCTCACCTTAGGTCACGACCGTCTGTAGTCCACGGTGGCGGTAGTGGAAGGTTGAGAACGCCGTCTGGAGATGAGGCCTGTGTGTTGAGATGCAGCCTCCCTGACTTGGGACTTTGACGGGAGTAACTTGAAGATGTTTTTTTCCCAGCGTTTGCCCAACTTGTAAATAATCAACTAATGTCGGAAACTCTTGTTGAGTTGGCTTAATGTCGTCTTTCAGCTTGATAATAGACTAGACATGTGGGTGAGAGAGAGTAATTGATAAGAGACGAATATAAATAATCACACAAATTTTGACAAAGAGATATAGAGAGGCGAAACAGGGAGACAGAGATGGGTGGGGGGTGGTGAGACACTGTCTTGGAGAGAGACAGACAGACAGAGGGTTAAGTGAGAAGTGACCAGGAAAAATGTAAACAATCTCTTAGAAAAGGAAGGATGTAGTGGGTGAGAAAGAATACCTTAGAGACAGAAATAAAGTGAGAGTCTGAAAATAAAGGACAGCCAGGAAAAAAACAGAAGCTATAGATAGAAAATATATAAACAAATTATCTTTTATTAAAATATATGTCCACTAAGATTATTTGAATAAGATTCTCTCCAGGAAATTTCTTCTCAAAAAGGGTTTTTCCTGCACACGATTCCTCCCCCCAACTACACTGGCATGCTCCACCTACCACCACCTTTCCCCACACCTACCACCACCTTTCCCCACACCTACCACCACCTTTCCCCACACCTACCACCACCTTTCCCCACACCTACCACCACCTTCCCCCACACCTACCACCACCTTTCCCCACACCTACCACCACCTTTCCCCACACCTACCACCACCTTTCCCCACACCTACCACCACCTTTCCCCACACCTACCACCACCTTTCCCCACACCTACCACCACCTTTCCCACACCTACCACCACCTTTCCCACACCTACCACCACCTTTCCCACACCTACCACCCCCTTTCCCACACCTACCACCACCTTTCCCCACACCTACCACCACCTTTCCCCACACCTACCACCACCTTTCCCCACACCTACCACCACCTTTCCCCACACCTACCACCACCTTTCACCACTCCTACCACCACCTTTCCCCACACCTACCACCACCTTTCCCCACACCTACCACCACCTTTCCCCACACCTACCACCACCTTTCCCCACACCTACCACCCCCTTTCCCACACCTACCACCCCCTTTCCCACACCTACCACCACCTTTCCCCACACCTACCACCACCTTTCCCCACACCTACCACCACCTTTCCCCACACCTACCACCACCTTTCCCCACACCTACCACCACCTTTCCCACACCTACCACCACCTCCCCCCACACCTACCACACCTTCCCTTATCCCTGATCCGATTACACTTGTATTTCCTACCCAACAGAGGAAAGCTCACATGTGATGAAGCGAGATATTTTCGCCTTTATTATTCCTGTTATTATTATCACTGTTAAGGTTGCTGTTTTTGCATTTGTTAGTTTCGTTGTTAATTTTTAAAAAATATCAGCATTTTGAATAAAATACGAATTTTGTCTATGCGTTCACATGTTCACTTGTGGACTTTGTGCCCTAGCTATCTGGGTACACTAGCAAGACATTATTATGAACAAATCCACATGGGCCGTGACGAGGATTCGAACCTGCGTCCGAGAGCATCTCGCTATTGTGATTTCTGTGTGTAAAGACATTATCTTCTTCTTCAAGACCTCTTGTGACCGTGCACAAATAATGTTTCAACAGACACGACGTCAACACAAGATTAAACATCAGCACAGCCCTACATATCAAACAATTTCATCCAGCTAGCAGCAGCAGCAGCAGCAGTAGCAGCAGCAGCAGCAGCAGCAGCAGCAGCAGCAGTAGACATCTATCAGTTAGAAAATGTTTAGGGGCTCTGTTTAAACGCATCCCTTACGGTCAATTCTAAATATGAAAGGAATATGTCATAATTAATGATTTGCCTTCTTAAAATGAAGAACAAAATATGACGTGATTAACGTGGAGTTTTAATAGGCTTATGCAGTAATTAGCGGAAGATATCTTGATTGTGTGTGGAACTGCGGCTCATTTTGCTGTTTTGAATAACTGTATTAACTTGTACAAAAAATTCTGAGACTTATGCTGTGGTTTGCGGGTGTATCAGACGAGGTACACAAGCGGTGGTCAGCGGGTGTCCTTGTATCAGACGAGGTACACAAGCGGTGGTCAGCGGGTGTCCTTGTATCAGACGAGGTACACAAGCGGTGGTCAGCGGGTGTCCTTGTATCAGACGAGGTACACAAGCGGTGGTCAGCGGGTGTCCTTGTATCAGTCTAGATACACAAGCGGTGGTCAGCGGGTGTCCTTGTATCAGTCGAGATACACAAGCGGTGGTCAGCGGGTGTCCTTGTATCAGTCGAGATACACAAGCGGTCGTCAGCGGGTGTCCTTGTATCAGTCGAGATACACAAGCGGTCGTCAGCGGGTGTCCTTGTATCAGTCGAGATACACAAGCGGTCGTCAGCGGGTGTCCTTGTATCAGTCGAGATACACAAGCGGTGGTCAGCGGGTGTCCTTGTATCAGTCGACATACACAAGCGGTGGCGAGCGTGTGTCCTTAAATCAAATGGTCGGCCATGCGCAAGGTTACCAGCTGCCCGTCTCACCTCTTGATAATGGACAAAATCCCACGAGAATCCACATCTGGGCCACAAAAACTACGATCAATGCTCTTGGCCATCTGCCTGATATTGAAAAAAAAGTGAACTTCACCTTTTCCGGTAAAAGGGAGAGAGTATTGCGGCAGGAAACACACAAAAAAAAGGAGTAGAAAAGGGCTTGTCTCGCGAAACACAGTTACTCCCTTTCTCCATGTTGCTGCTGCTGCTGCTTCGTCTCTGTGGGCTCGTACACACCTCCACCTTTGCCTCCATCCTCTCCGGACGCCTGCCCGGAGGTGGAGTTATTGTTGTGGTGAAGGACTTGCGTCGGGCTAGAGAGCCGTCGCTCGCGTCACCTTTGTAGCTATTGAGATGACTGGTACAAGAGGAGTGTGGGGGGGGGGGCAGTCAGAGGAGCATGGGATACCTGGTTGATGGGGTTCTGGGAGGAGTTCTTCTCCCCAATCCCGGCCCGATGCCAGGCTTGACTTGTGAGAGTTTGGTCCACCAGGCTGTTGCTTGGAGCGGCTCGCAGGCCCACATACCCACCACAGCCCGGGGGGAGCTGTGGGTATTGCGCCACACTGCTGGGCGCTCTGCCAGGGGAGTATCCATAAGTATCTGTACATCTACTTATCACCTTGGGAGTGGAGGGAGGACTCTGTATTGTGTCTGGAGGTAAACACTGGCTAGAGGCTTTCCATGTCTGCTGCATTCGTGCACGTAGGGAATATTATTATTAGCCCGAGATTGGTATCCCACTCATAGGTGTATTTATGTCCTGAGAGAATACATTAAACCTATTCTTTGCTCGTGACTAATCATCCTGTGTGGAGGAATTTTTATTATCACGTAGCTAGTTCTAGACGCATTCTGTACTTCGCTTCATATAGTCTAGGGCAGCTGCACAAAAGCAGCTGCCTGGTTTTAAAACATAACAATTCTCATGGCAAAATTGTACTTGCTGATTGGTTAGCCGCAGTTGATATAAGTCCAACTCCACAGCAACAAAATTATTGAAAGATATTTTCAATCATTATTTCAATATTGAAATCAATTTTCAATGTTGTCCGGCATCAAGAATTGCTGGACTAGCCGGACTGTTGTGGATATGCGGGCCTGGGAGCCGCTCCAAGCAACAGCCTGTTGAACCAAGCTCTTAGAAGTCGAGCCTGGCCTCGGGCCGGGCTTGGGAAGTAGAACAACTCCCAGAACCCCATCAAGCAGAATATTCAACCACGCCCCACAATAGCTCTTCTTGAACAGAACCTAACCCATCCAGTCCTGTTGGTGCTGCAGTTCCTGCTGCTGCTGCTGCTGCTGTTGCTGCTGCTGTTGCTGCTGCTGCTGTTGATGCTGCTGTTGCTACTGTTGTTCTTGTTCTGGATATCTCTTGTTTTTTGTTATATCTTCTCTTATCTTCCTTTATTCTTCTACAACTGTTCGTAAATATTAAATGTTATACTTACGTACCCTACTAGTATTGAGAGCCATGCTATGTTAATTTGCGTATGATATGTAAATACTAATATATATAGTCTATGTTATACCAATATTAATGGATTTTGCTTTTCAAATATACTGTCAATGCTCTGCTAACATGCATGTATATATATATATATATATATATATATATATATATATATATATATATATATATATATATATATATATATATATATGCGGAAAATCCACAGAGAAATATGAAATGAGGTGAACGTTTCGGCTTTGTTAAAGCCTTTGTCAACAAAGCCGAAACGTTCACCTCATTTCATATTTCTCTGTGGATTTTCCGCATAAAATGATCAGTGTTTTGTGATCGTCAATTGCATATATATATATATATATATATATATATATATATATATATATATATATATATATATATATATATATATATATATACTTCGCTTGTGTTATTAATATGCAATTATAATACTACACACACACTATATATATATCGTGTGTGTAAAATTATGTAGTGTGTGTGTGTGTATATATATTATGTAGTGTGTGTAAGGGTAAGATTAATGGTTCGAACATATCGTCTCGATTTTTCTTATGCTTTTCTTCACTGTCGATGGAAGCTGAAAAATTAACTCTCCAAAGTTCATTTTCACAATATATTTATGGTCTGACGCCTAGGGGAAAGCCTTCTGCAAGGCACTACATTTTCAAAGACAAATTTTCCATACTCTACCAAGGCTTATATTCGCTTGGGGTGAGGTGATAAATGATTGAGTTTAACAAGTGGATCAAAAGCATAATGGGTATTAATTGGCTATTGAGTATTCCATATTCGTGCTTCTACTGTTTTTGTGTTGATTCGGGGTCTTGAAGTGGGGGGGGGGGTAGAATGTTGGTTTGTGTTAATTGGCTGTTGAGTGAGGGTTTTTAACTTTTTGATGTGTAGGGCCTCGCTGTTGTCGAGTCTGCTGTTGTCGAGTCTGCTGTTGTCGAGGCTGCTGGTTGTCGAGGCTGCTGGTTGTCGAGGCTGCTGGTTGTCGAGGCTGCTGGTTGTCGAGGCTGCTGTTGTCGCGTCTGCTGGTTGTCGTTGAACCTGTCGATAATTTCTGTGTTGTTAAGATTTCATCAACAGGTATCGGGAGCCAGTTCAATAGACAACCAACTGTTAGAAAGGCGGGGTCCAGGAGCTAAAGAGCTCGATCCTTGAGGCACAAGTAGTAAATACAGAGTATGATGAAAGCAGTAATCACCTCTCCACACCCTACCACTCAAAGCTATCACAAAAACCACATCCCATAAGTCACCTCCAATCAGTCCGTAACGAAAAAATTGTCCCGAGGTAAAAAAAAATATCAAACTGGCCTTGTATGAGAGCAAAAAAGTATGAAAAAAGGGGTAACTTAAACCCAGAATAAAAAAAAAGGAAAAAAAGAGAGAGAATCGAAGCGTGTGCCTGAAGAAAGAGGAGCGACTGCCGACACCACTTGGCCAACCCGTTCCAACCATTCCTTAACCCCCCCCCCACTTCCCCAAATGCTACCCCTGTCCTCCCCACCCTCCCCCATTCCCTCGTCCTCAACAGGGTGGCTAATAAAAAAAGTATATAAAAAAGGACGAAGAGTCCCGGTGTATAATTTCATAACCCTTTCACAATGGTCCAACACGCGTCTAAATAGGGTGAGCACTCCCAGCTTGAAATTTAATAGCCTGGATTTTAAGGGGTTCAAAACTGTTGGGGTTGGAATCGCTCTAATAGAGTCCCGGTGGTCGAGTCTACGAGAATTCCAATCATTACCTGCACTTGAGATCCGGCATTTGACGAGTCGTAGTTCGGCGTTTGTATGATCTGGGGGTTATGTATGCGTGTGGGTTTTTCTGGTGAGGGCGTTCCCTGTGTGTGTGTGTTTACTAGTTGTGTTTTTGCGGGGGTTGAGCTTTGCTCTTTCGGCCCGCCTCTCAACTGTCAATCAACTGTTTACTAACTATTTTTTTTTTCCACACCACACACCCACACCCCAGGAAGCAGCCCGTGACAGCTGACTAACTCCCAGGTACCTATTTACTGCTAGGTAACAGGGGCACTTAGGGTAAAAGAAACTTTGCCCATTTGTTTCTGCCTCGTGCGGGAATCGAACCCGCGCCACAGAATTACGAGTCCTGCGCGCTATCCACCAGGCTACGAGGCCCCTTGTGTGTGTGTGTCTGTGCCTATGTGTGTGTGCGCGCGCGCCTGTGGGTAGGTTGGGGAGAAGTATCTGATAGCGCGAGGATCATAATTTGATGCCAGGAGCTCAATTGACCCCTTTCAGCGGCGGGAGATAAACAGCCGCCAATTTGCTAAGGCGCGTTTATAATCGGATTTTAAAGTTGACTGAGCGGTTAATGGACAGTGGAGGGGGACTTTTTTCTCTTTTAAAGAAGGGGGTGGGGGTGTTAGGGGCGTTTAATGCTCTTTAATGAGTCAATTTCGTTTTGCTGCTGCATTTGAGGTTGAAATGAGGATCATTCTGACCCATATAATGTTTGAAGGATGGAGTTTTTTTTATTATTATTATTTTCTACCACAGACGTGGCCACACATTTACAATGCTAACCAGCATATATACATTTTCTTCTGTCCTCCTCCTGTCCTGTCTTCATTCTTTCTGAAGGATGAAGTGGTACCCTTTTCTCTCTCTGTTTATTTCGGTGGGATTGATGCTGTCACTTTCGGAAACATGGAATTAATGTTAGGCAAACTGATTCAAATATGGTTACCTTTGATCACTGTGAGAGTAATCATATACAAGTCTCGGTCGTGCTGGTTCCAAAGGGGGGCCGGGTTCGATTCCCGGTCAAGGCATAAACAAGTGGGTGGAGTTTTATTTTATGTCTTTTTTTCAACTAGTAATAAATTGGTATCAGGGAGTTAAACAGCTGCTACGAGGGGCGTCCTGTGGATGTGTGTGTGTAGAATACAATTTTTATCTGCAGAATCGAGCTATTAGCTCTTGAACCCCACCTTTCTAACCAATCTTTTTTTTCCTTATATATCTACTACACATAATTCTCTCTAACATATCCACATACCCTCCAGTAAGCAGCCCGTAGCAGCTGTCTAACTCTCAGGTACCTATTTACTGCTAGGTGAACAGAGCATCAGGGTAAAAGAAACTCTGCCCATTTATTTCCATGTGTGTGTATACACACTCCCTCAAACTCTCTCTCTCACAAACACACAAACACACACACACACACACACACACACACACACACACAAAACACAAGTGACCTAGTTTACTGACAAAAAAATATGAAAAAAATCTAGCCAAGAGGTCCCTTCCTGTGACGAAAATTGGCTCCATCTCCCCATTATTTATTCTCTCCCTGGCCGGGGCAGCGAACCACAGCGCATATAATGATCCTATTAAAGTTTATGGAGCCTTAATGCGCTGGGTCACTTTATTAATAAGTCACTGTGGAGTGTAAAGTGGCAGGGGGAGACCGGGCCCGGT